ATCATCCGGTGAAGCAGGCTGCACTCAAACATTACTCCTCTGTGTCACAATAATTAGGCTACAATAATTAAACATACCAGCATTGCACTGACTAGCATGCGCCATAATTAGCGCCCGTTTGGAGAGAGTGCAACACGGGTTATTTTTTTATGGCTACAGTTTACGAACGTCCCCTAAAGGCGTCACAGCCATGAAGTTACTGAGAACAGCTACAAGGATACACTCGCTGAAGCCGTGTGTGTGTGACTGTGGCAGGTTGGAGCTCCTCCTCCAAACACAGAAGTCATCTGTGACTGGAAACCATAGAAAATAGAGCTATCTTTGTGAGAAGCATTTTAAGACCAACAGTGTGATGAAGGATTTTTATTTTTTGCACTGTTCACACTTTTTCTGAGTCCGAGTTTTAGAGGTATAGTTAGAATTAGGGCAAGGGTTTGGTACTTGACTGTGAAGGCTAAACTTGGAGGTAAGAGGCTTTGGATTAGATTTATGTTAGCCATGTATATGTGGCCCTCCTCTTTAGACACCGAGTGGAGCAGGCAGCAACTTTTAGCTAATATATGAGGCTGAAACATCCAAACAACCTCAACCGTGACACTGTAAATTCTCAAAGAAAGCAGCTGTCAAGCTATGCGTAGATCGACATACAGAGATTTCTTTATTTTTTAGTAATTTAATTTCATACACTCGCTACTGAGCCGGATCCTCAGCAGACATCAGTCTGAGAACTACGTATGGCTGTTTGAGAAAAACCTGCTAAAGCTCAGGTGTTTTAGGAAGTTATTCCACCTTAAAGAAAACATACATGGCCAAATGTTGTGAGTTTGGAGCTCAGAGTAACATAGATATATTGCAGAAATGATAATATAGAGAGAGCATGAAAATATGTAGATGTGCTGGTGAAAACAGTGCGTTTGAAGTACTTTGTTTAAGATAAAAAATCTCAGAGGGAAATAACCATTGAGTACTCTACCAGGACTATGACCGGCCAATGTAGCATCTTACCAGATGACATAGCAGTGTACTAGCTCTGCACGAGGGTGTTTGGGGAGGTCGCTGCGATTTTCACACATTGATGATTTGTTTTTGGATTTTTTTGCATTTCTTGACAGAAGCAAAAACACATGTCAGTAAAAGAAGATTAGCATTTCCATCAGCAGTGATTTATATAAGAAGCATGGCACTGTTCTGAGACACCTCCCTGTTTCATGCTCACACAGCAGGTTTTAAGAACGAAGATGAGATGCTTAAGTCAGATACAGCATAAAAGGTGAAGCAGTTATCGGTAGGTTGCAAGTGGAGAGCTTAAATGAGAGCGCCAACTGAATGCGGAAGGTATGAGCTGATCTGAGCTGGCCTTGAGATCAACTGAACTGATGAACTAAGTAATATACAACATCCTGAAACTGCAGTTTCCAAGACTACATCCCCTTTGTCAGAATTCTCCTTGATTTTAAACAGATTTGCATTTCCCCTCAGAGTGCAGACTGTGATGTGTAGCTCGTAAGATTTAAGTCCTAAATGTCCGATTAAGACTCCCACGGAGGCTTTTTTGTTTTGGGCTAAGCAAAATAGCATGTTAATATTTTAGTCTTGGAAACGGGCTGCAGAGACACACTCAGATGGACAGCTGGAGCTTGGTGAGGTTCCTCTGGTGCATATTGTGGTGTCGTACCAGCTCGTCGCTTCGGGCAAACTTCTTCTGACAGTTAGGCCACCGGCAGTTAAACGGCTTCTCACCTGAGAGAGAGGTGGGTGGAGGACGGTGAGGCAACAACAGGAGGGGGAGAATTAGCACCAGAGGGATTTAAAATCAGGGATTTCTTAGAATATTTTGCTGCTATATCTCTTCATGCATAGTAGCACCAGTCAATTAACATTATTTTTATTTCATAGGAATTAAAATGAACATTTTCAGCTATAATATACACGTATATAAATATTAAATGGATGAAGAAGAAATGAAAAAATAAAAGTTTACGCACTTGTTTTACCTGTATGAGTCCGTGTGTGTGTCTTAAGGTGGTCAGACCGAGAGAACTTTCTCTGACACGTCTCGCATTGGAACGGTTTTACTCCTAAACACATGTACAGTAAGCATGCACACACATTCAGCACGAGTTCACATAAACACATACGGAAAACACACATTCAACATCACGCACACACACACACACACAGAGGGAGATAGAGAAATACAGTAGAGCAAAGGCTTGCAGAGAAGCCATTCCAAAGTTTGGCCAGCATTTAGCAACTTCATCTGAAGTGAGTTCAGTACAGTGCACCAATGAACGCAAAACTTTAAAGACGGCACTGTCTTTAAAAATAAACAAAACAAAAACAAAGCTGTCATGCAAAAAGCAGAGGAGAGCGAGAAGAGAGAGAGAGAGAGAGCAAAAGGCCAGGAAGAAATAAAAAATGAAGTCAGACAGCCCGCGGGAGTAAAACCGGTCAAACCTGTGTGCCTCCTCTGGTGTCTTTTAAGCTGGTCAGAGCGCGAAAATCTGCGGCCACAGTCTGTGAACTCACACTGGTAGGGTTTCTCCCCTGGACAGAGACAAGAAAAAGAACACAGAGGATCAATTTAGACATCCTTTCAACTTATTTTATCACATACTCACAGCTGGTCACGCTTGCAGTGATGGAAAAAAGCAGCATCTGTACAGATGAAACCAACAGGCCAGTTTATCAGCCGTCCACAGAACATTGTGCAGCAGCTTTGAACCTGATTGTTGCAACGTGATCAGTCATGCAGGAACACCAGCACTCATATTACCAAAGATCACTTATAAACATATTTTTCAAAAAAATAATACAATCCAATTAAAACGCGTTGCTCAAAATATGATTTTGCACAGTCGCAGTCACTGTTCAGTCACACTGAATGAATGAGAGGCAGCAGCAAAAAATCCAGGCAGCTGCCTGACATGAAAGCACAACAACAACATTTAACCACATAAGCAATTAAACAAACAAGCAAATAAACAACAAAAGAAACCAATAAAAGAGTCAATAACTAGATAAATAAAAAATCAGGATCAGATGAAATTGAGGGAAACGATTTAAGGAATAAATTTGCTGGTTCTGATCAAACTTTTGACTCGACTACATACAGCATATAAAGATCACCTTGGGCTCTGGGTATTTCCTGAAATCCAACAGACTAAACACGATTAAAAAAATGTATTAATGGGTAATTAACAAAATAATTATTTAAGGTATAAAATGTGTGTGCAAAGGCTTTGTAAAAATAAATAAATAAATAATAATAATGAATAGTATTGAAGAGATTAATGGTCTCGTTATGGCTGTTTTATTATTTATGATAACAAAAAAAGCATATACTCAGAATAACACTGATCATTTTTAACTAGTGCTATTCTGAGAGTATGCACAGTGACATGTTCTAAAGTTTTAGGTAATTTAGAGATTATATGTAAAATCTGAAGGGCTCACATCTGTTAGTGCATGC